TGTAATGCAAAGTAAATTGCTTTCAAAGGTTATAAAAAAAAGCTTGTAGTTCATCAAATTAAAGAAATATAATACTTCTGCCTTTATAGAGTTCACCCAAATCTCGGTCCACACGTTACAGACTTTCTATAGTATCCCTAGCTACCCAAACTACCAATCCAGATGGCCCAGAAGGGCTATGACCTGCCCTTGGTCCCCACAATTGGGTCCTTTTCCTCCGGTTACTCTTCCGGCGGTCTGGTTGGTGGAGTGCTGCCAAACACTTCGGTCTCGTTCAGTTTTGCTAGTTCTTCTGATAATAATCCTTTACATAATACTGTCGAAGATCTGTGCTACCTCTCTAATCGGGACTTGCCAAGCAAGTGCCCCACTGCCATATCGGCCCTGTGGCTTTCTATGATTTTGGTGCATATTCGTGTAACCTCTCTATTACACAAAGGCCCAAGATCTTCTAGTTTTGATGAATTGGTACGACTACAGTTACAGGGTCTCAAGTTTTCCCAGCCACAGCATTAGTTACCGAATCCGTTTTTCGAAATTTAATTTTCGTCTCTAGTGGGAATTGAACTTGTACTCAACTGCTTGGGGGTGCGACAACTTCACCACTTCACTAAGTTGCCACACCCTTTTTTATATTTTACTAAATATTTAGTTCTGTTCATTGTTATTAGGACATGTTCTACGATTGTGCCCAGTTCTATGACATAACACACATTTTCTTCTTCTCGGTTCAGCTAACTCAAAAGCAGATAGGTCTCTTCGGGTAGATGATTGTGCATTCCTTGCACCAACTGGGCGTCCCCTTGTGTGTTGTTCCTGTGAGTCTTGCATAACAATAGCAGGTTCTTGAAACAAGCTTGATATTTCGTTCAGAGCTGTTGTTTGTTGGTGAGCTAGCCAAGAATTAAATTGTTGACTATACTCTTGCCACCTGTGTTGCATAGGATTTTCTACTTCAGTTGGTATTGGTAGAAATAATTGGTGTCTTTGAAGCCACCAATGTTTGTGAAAATCAGTAAGTTGTAAGTATTGATTATTGTTGAGACGTTCTTGAATTCTATGTGAGCAAAGAAGACGTATCGACGATGTGAATGTACCAGTACAAGGTTGCAGTGAATTTTTTTATGTCATGCTGGTTACTTTCAAGAACTGTTTATGTACTTTTTTTAGTGAAAATACAGAAACTTTAGTAACAACCTGTAAATAAAAGGGTTGGTTTTGGGCATGAGGAGTTCGAATCATCTCTTGAGAAATTTGGATTTTGATTTCTTGGTGTTGATTCTCCAATGCCAAAATGATTCTTTTATGAACTGTATGAAGGTCTCCAGTTGATACTTGAAGATACTTTTTCAACATTGCATAAGATCCTTCTACCCGTGATATTGTCACATTGCCCAAATGCAAGTAACGGTCTGTCCAAAGACTTACGAAATATTTCTTGAATAGTAGCCATACATCCTGTAGATATTTAGTAATTGATGGTTTCTCATTATATTTCCTTACCAGTTTTTCCCATTTTTCATTAAACTCTTCTTCTGATTTAGAATTTATGAGGGCAGACCAACTTCTTAAAAACTCTCTTAATTCATCTTTTGTAGGAAGATACTGACGGAAATTAGACAGCACATTTTTTTCAATGTGCCATATGCACAAGAAATTTTGTGATTCAGGAAAGACGGTGTATATGGCATGCATTAGAGCCAACTTTCTGTCAGTCATAATGACCTGAGGTTTTGAAATGTCCGTAAAAATGCGGGTAATACGAATAAGTGCCTATTTATAATCTTCCTTCTGCTCTGACTTTAGGAATGCGAAACAGGAGGAGAATGTAGTATTAAAGCTTGTCATTCCAACGCCGTGAAGAAGCGGCATTCTAAACTTATTAGTTTTATACGTGCAGTCTATTAAAAGAACAGAGCTATAGGCTTTGGTAAGTATAATTGATATAGGATAGGCAAAAAAGAGATGTGTTAAATGATTATCTTGATCATATTGATAATCATACTCAAAGTTTTCTTCTTTAAGCTCATCAAGAAGAGCCTGGATTGGTGTATGATCTTTAAAGTTGTCCTGTCTAATCTTATCTCGTGTATTATATATAGTTTTTGAAATGGCCATAAGATTTGGGTTGTCTTGGCAAAAGATTGACAGCATTTCTCTAGGACAGATACCCGCTTCAGATATTTGATGAACTCTTTGCTGTTCTTCTAAGTTTAATCTGTGATGTGATGGGTGGCCAAACATGTCTTCTGACGACTCATAGTTGTGAATTGCATTCTTTATTGTCAAATGCCATTGTTCATTTTTTTTTTTTCCATAAAGTTCGAAAGGGCAATCTATTAAGCGTGAACTCGTGGCCCTTTAATGAGTTTCGTCTATAAGATTTAAAGAATTTCTATAGACACCACCTCTATCACAGTACAGATAAACGAATTTATCTCGTTCTGATCTTTTAATGTATACAGCATATCCATGATTAAGGGCATGAGATTGGGCATGTTGGATTAGAGCTTCACGACTTTCAAAGCAACCAGTAGATGGGGGAGTCAAAGACATGATTTTAAAAGTCTAGAGTGACGTATTCTATTTGGATAAGTATTATATTTCTTTAATTTGATGAACTACAAGCTTTTTTTTATAACCTTTGAAAGCAATTTACTTTGCATTACA